CACACACACACACACACACACACACACACACACACACACTTTCTCATACCTTTTTCCTGTCCCTTCCGTTCCCTTACCTTGCTGGATCATGAATGCATTCCCTGAGATTTTCTTTGGTGCTGACCCGATACCTCCTTACACTGTTTTTATATGAAGCTTCTCTATACATACTAAAGGATGGAGAGGGCCCGGCGACATGCCCTGCCGCGGGCCCAGCGAAATTTGAAGGAGGCCGAAATTGGGCAGCGGGACCGCGGGGTCCAAACGGGCAGTGGGACCGCAAATTTCAAGGCGGGGTCCAGGCCTCAGCGTAGGAGAGGCCCACGAAATCGCTGGCGCGCCAGGCCTCAGCGGAGGAGAGGTCCACGAAAATGCTGGCGCGCAGGAGGGCGACAAGTAGTGAGACCGAAAATTTTGAGGTGGGGTGGAAGCCTCAGCGGAGAGAGGCCCACGAAAGTGCAGGCGGGCGATAGTGGACGGCGGAGGACGGGGCAGGGCCAAAATAGTGAGGCGCGCGCGTAGCAGGCGGCTGCGCGAAATTTTCAGGTGTGCGCGCGGGCAGTGGGACCGCAGATGTTGAGACGGGGTGCAGGGTTCAGCCGAGGAGAGGCCCGCGAAATTGTTGGTGCGCCGGCGGGCGATAGCGGGCATCGCAGGGGCGATAGCGGGCCTGCGACACGGCAGGCGCGCGTCTATGCATGCCCATGGTGAGCTTGCTCCGGAGGGGCGATAGCGCGCGGGTGGGTGAAAGTGTCAGTTGTGCGTGTGCATGGATGGTTATGGCGGACGCAGGAAGGAAAGGGGCGAGAAAGGAAGAGGCGGTTCGTGGACGCGCGTGGATATAAAAGGGGGCCAGGTGGTGGAGATAGTGCATTCTGAGCACGTGCGTGCTGTGGTGCAGAAGATGTTGGCGCACCGTTGTGAGGACAGGACGCGTGCTGGAGATGGTGCACTGTGAGCACGCATGAGCGGTGGTGGGGAAGATGTTGGCGCGTGCCCCTTGCAGACAGCAGGTTGAGAAGACGTGCGTGTGAAAACAGAACGTGCCAGGTATACAGAGACGGGAAAGAGGGGGAGGTGGACAAGCGCGGACGAGTGAACGCAGACAGAACGGGTGAACACAGACAGGAGACGTGGCCGCACGGACGAGTGAACGCAGACAGGAGGAGTGAACGCAGACAGGAGATGCGGCCGGTGCAGACAGATGACAAAAAACAGGACGACAAGAGACGTACAAAGGAATATGGTTAGAAAAATACGGGGTAGCAAAACAGTTTCGAGTGAAGGGAGGATGCGTCCGTGCAGAAGGCGATTGTTCGTTATCGAATCAATTATTAATCGTGTACCATTGCATAGGCCGTTTCGCATGGCAATATTGCGTAGTAGAATGACCGGGGCGCCTTGTTTAATGCAAAGTACATGGGGCGGCAAGGAAGGAATGTCAATCGCGT